TTTAATCCCAGCAGAGGCAGAGGCAGGCAGATCTCTGTGAGTTCCAGGCCAGCCTGGTCTCCAAAGCCAATCCAGGCCAGCTGGGGCTACAGGGAGACCCTGTCTCAAAATCTCCAAAAGACCAAAAAATATATATATATATATATATACCTGATTTTGTTGTTGTTTTTCAGACAGGTTCTCACTATATAGCACTGGCTGACCTTGAACTCACAGAGATTCTCCTTCCTCTGCCTCCAAAGGTATGTACCATGTCCAGCTGGATTCTTGAATTTGCTATAGAAAAGGGGGAGGAGGAGCCAGCATGAAGCAGAGGTGAGATTTATTAGGAAGATATTTCAACACAGATTTAAGCATGGGCACTAATGGAAGGTGAGGCACTTAAGAAAAGGATATTACATCCCCAAGTGTGGGTGTTGACTTCTCAAGATTGTCTTAACTATGTGTGTGTGTGTGTGTGTAATTTTGTTGTCTTTGCCATTACGTTGTTCAAAGAGTTTCTAAGAAATTTTCCCCTTTTTTTCCTCCTCTCTGTTTTGGTAAACAAGATCACAGGGTGGTTCCTAGTGAGCACTGGATAGAATTACAGGCTGGTAAAACCATAGGACACAAAGGTTGCAACAAGGGAGTTAAAAAACATGCTTTCATAGTAAATGAAATTTATGACAGTGTTCATGAGAGTCCCAGAAAACTGCAGGTTTGCATGTGGGAAAGGAGTGAGGCCACGCAGGCAAGTCATATGCTCTTTGGCCTTCAGTGTGGCTCATTGTATGCTAACGGTCTTATTTGAAATATCTTCATATACACGAACTATTGTCTCTATGTAGACAAACCTCACAGAAAATTTTATTTTGTTAATTGTGAAGGAGTTTTTTTCTTTTTTCTTTTTTGTGTGTGTTTTTGAGACAGGGTCTCCCTGTAGCCCCAACTGTCCTGGAACTCACTACGTAGACCAGGTTGGCCTTGAACTCACAGAGATTTGCCTGCTTCTGCCTCCCAAGTGCTGGGACTACAGGTGTAAGCCACCACGCTCTCCTCTTTTTTTGTTTTGAGACAGGGTCTCCCTGTAGCCCCAGGTTGGCCTTCTAGAACTCACTATGTAGACCAGGCTGGTCTTGAATTCAGAGATCCACCTGCCTCTGCCTACCAAGTACTGGGATTAAAAGCATATGCCACCACACCTAACCAGAGTTCTTTTTTTCAGTGTGTATGTGTGCGTGTGTGTGTGTGTGTGTGTGTGTGTGTGTGTGTGTATGCACGCATGCACGGGTATGGATGCTCCATGTGTGGTGGATCAGAAGACATCCTCATGTGTTGGTCCTAGCTTTCTACTGCATTCAGAGTGTCTCCCTTTTGTTTTCAACTGCTACATCAGGCGACCTGGCCTGTAAGTTTCCAAGGATTCTCTTGTCTTTGCTTCCCATCTTGCTGTATGAGCACTGGGATTACAGACATGTGCTACTGCATCTGCCACACATTTAAAGGTTCTCTTATTCTATATAATTTTAGGGATTCGGGGTTTACTGTACCCAAATTCATTCATACACAGCTCAAAGTTTCAAAACTCTGATTTGTACTTGCTACTTTCCCAAGTGTGCACTTATTTATTTATTTATGTATTTATTCTTTTGAGACAGGGTCTCCTTGTAGCACCAGCTGGCCTGGAACTCACTACGTAGACCTGGCTGGCCACGAACTCACAGAGACCCACCTACCTCTGTCTCCTACCAAGTGTGTATTTAAAAGGAATCAAAGCAAAATAAAACAAAAATGCTGGTTTTGGGGGCTGGAGAGATGACTCAGTGGTTAACAGCACTTAAGGTGCAATCCTGAGGACCAGAGTTCAGATCCCAGCACCCACATAAGAAGCCAGGTGTCCTGAGCATGCCTGTAGCCTCAGGTCTGAGTAGGGTGGAGACAGAAGGACCACTGGGGCTTGCTGGCTTCCAGTGTGGCTGAGAAAATCAAGCCCCAGGGTCAGGGAGAGACCCTGCCTCAAAGGAATAGGTGGAGACTGATAAAGGAGGACATTCAACACCCTCTTCTGACCTTCACATGTGCTAACACCTGCACACATGTGCACATACACGTACTCTCTCATATATGTAAATAATGTAAAATTTAAAAAGTGCTGGTTGAAGGAATTATTTGAATACACTCATGCCACATGGATACCAAAAATTGGCTCAACAGTAGTACATTCAACCAATATTACTTTTCTGCCTTCTAAATAATCATTTATTCGGGTCTGGAGAGCTGGTTCAGCAGTTAAGAGCACTGGCTGCTCTTGCAGGTGACCAGGGTTAGTGTCCTAGCACCTATATGGCAGCTGCACCCACATGGCAGCTAACAACTGTCCATAACTCCAGTTCCAGGGGAATCTGAGGCCCTCTTCTGACCTCCACAGGCATTGTACAACACAGGTGCACTTGCATAAATGCAGGCAATGCACTCATACACATAAAATAAAATAAACCATGTTAAATATTATAATGATTTACTTAGTCTCTTTCTACCAACCACCTTCTGGTCTGATAACTATTATTAAGATTAATAAGCCTGGGGCTGGAGAGATGGCTCAGCAGTTAAGAGCACGGGCTGCTCTTGCAGAGGACTTGGGTTCAATTCCCAGCATTCATAGGGTGGCTAACAGTCCGTAACTCCAGTTCCAGGGAATCCAACACCATATTATGACCTCCTAGGGCATTGTAGGACATGGGTGCACTTACAGACATGCAGGCAATACACTCATATACATGAAAAAAAGAGAAAAAGATGAACTAGCTGGGCATGGTGCTGTAGGCCTTTAATCCCAGCACTTGGGAGGCAGAGACAGGTGGATCTCTGTGAGTTGGAGACCAGCCTGGTTTACATAGTGAGTTCCAGGTCAATTGGGGCTACAGGGAGGCCCTGTCTCAAAACAAGCGACCAAACAAAATTAGTAAGAAAGACTGTGTTTAGTTCAATTACTGTAAGAAAGTAATTGGAACTTGGAGAAAGACCAGATTAAATAGCAAACTTTCCTTCCTTCCTTCCTTCCTTTCCTTCCTTTCCTTCCTTCCTTCCTTCCTTCCTTCCTTCCTTTCTTTGTTTTTAGCAACAAAAGAGGGTTCTTTTACCTGTTTGTTCTGTTTGTCTCCCTATATAGCCCAGGCCAACCTGGAACTGGCTAGTTAGTCTGGGCTAATTTCAAATTCATGAACCTTCTGCCTCAGTCTCCTGAATGCAGGGACTGTAGGCGTGTGCCACCACGCCTGGAAAAAAAAGAGGATTTCTTAGTTTTAGATAGGGTCTCACTTTGGCCCCAGCTGGCCTGGAACTCACGCTGTAGATCAGGCTGGCCTAGATCTCAAGTGCCTCCCAAGTGCTGGGATTAAAGGGGTGTACCACCACGCCCAGCTAGGATATTTCTGATAAACATTTCATATCAAATCTATGTACAACTGGAAATGAGCAGAGGCTTCTGAGTCAGACTTTCAACTGAAGCCTGCACAGTAGGTAATATTATCCTCACTTTAGAGAAAGGAAACTGACTGAAAGGTTATTTAACCTCCTCACGCCACCGAATGAGTAAAATACAAAGCCAAGACTCTTTGTTTGCCTTCGTGGCCCTAAGAAGCTCCATTAACCCCACACTCACTGACAGCTCTCCGCCCCGCGGTTTCCTTCGTGTTCAAACTTCAGCGGCCCAACCCTCTCGCTAAGCGCACGCTCACTTTCAATACTTAAAAAAACAAAAAACAACAAAAAAAAAACTATCGAGAACGAATGCGCATGCTCCTTAAACGCTCTGCTGAGGCAGTTTTTTTTTTTTTTTTTCCTCTTCTACTATTCAGAAAGGGTAATCACGCAAGTTCAATTTCAATTTATCAACTTCAGATGTGGTACGCATGCTCTCTGTCCCATCAAACGCTTTAGCCGACAATGCGCATGCTCTAGTTTCCAGGCCCGGCTTCGGCTGGTATTCTGCGCATGTGCCTGCCAGTATCTGGACCCCTGGAGCTAGTGCTACGCATGTCCACTGCCCACAGTTTGGCTTCACGGAATGCTCTACGCATGCTCTGGGGCTGAACTTGAGGAGCCAGTCTGGGGCCTAAGCGCAGACGCATTAAGCCTAAGCAGTCGGTGATGGCGGCAGCAGCAGTGGAGGCTGCGGTGGGTCCGGGCCCATGAGGCGACGACGGAGGCGGGACGGCTTCTACCCAGCGCCTGACTTCCGAGACAGGGAAGCTGAGGACATGGCAGGAGTGTTTGACATAGACCTGGACCAGCCAGAGGACGCAGGCTCTGAGGATGAGCTGGAGGAGGGGGTGAGGCCCGGGGTCCCGGGGGTGGGGGCCCGAGGTGACAGGGCCGGGGCGGCGGCGCGGGTCCGGGAAGCCTGGTGTGTCCTAGAGCGCGCAGACCCCGGGGACGCGAGCAGTCTCTCAGAGTTGAGGAGGCGCCGCGCGGCCGATCGAGGGAGCGGGCGGGGCGTACCTGGCCCTAGGTGCGAGGCCTCTGCGGGGCACGCAGGTGCAGGGCTCGTCCCCAGCCTAGCCAGCGCTGCGTGGAGGAGAAAGGGCGCGCGCTCGGCTTCTGGAGCCAGGGGCTCGAAGGCGGCCCAGTGCGGGTGGTGTGTGCGTGCTGCGGGAGGGCTGCGCTCGCAGGGAGTCCCCTGAGTGCAGGTGGAGTGCGGAAGGGAAAGGCTTCCCTCGGCGCGGTGGAAAGCAAGTCTTAAACCTGCAGACCTCCCACAACCTCCTCTTTTCTCGGCCTGTCGCTTCTCTCCTAGGAAGCGCTCAGCTGTTCGAAGTGACAGCTGAAAACTTCTGTCGGGAGTAGCACTGCCGCTGCTGTGACAGCCACCAGGAGTTTTATTTCGGGAGCAAGGGGGCTCTGCTGCATCTTCCAGGGTTTGTTTGTTTGCCTTTTATTTTTAACCCCCCCATTCCGTGTGACTTTTTAAAGGAAAAAAAATCACAACGACACACGGTATTTGTAAGTTAATTCCCCCAAGTTGAAGATGTCTATTTTTTTTTCCGAGTAATTTATGTAATTTTAGGGTGGGGAAAAGAAAAATCCCAATGTTGACAGCTGTGAGTTGGCTTGCCAAAAACAAGTTACTTGAACAGACTTGTGAATAGTGGTGTGAGGGCTTTCCTTGCTGAAATTTAGAGTGTTAAATTTAGAATTGCTTTTCCTAATGCACATCTTGATTTTACCTTTGTTGTCTTAGAAGTTTGCTACTTATGGAATATCATTTTTTCCCAAGGTAAATTTATAGAAAAAAATATTGCACTGAAGTTCAGAAATGAGATGTCAAAGTAACGGACCGATTATGGGCAAATGATCAGTAATAACCTAATGATGATTTAGGTCTTAAATTCTGTCATCTGAGTACATGGATTTATGACTGATGTTTGCTGTAATTGCACAGGGTCTCCCTTCTCTTCTCACACCCAGTTTTCCTCTGTTAGCAAGTAAATTGTGCCCTGACAAAAGATTGAAATGCTATGCATAAAGAACTTTGAACACTTTATGACATCAAGTGGGCTAAAATAGTATTCTTTTCATAATTAAATAAATCTCAAAATTACACAGTTCCAAAGGTGGATATTGAGATATGTGCTTTTATTTAAATTCATGTTTTGATATGGAATTCTAATTAGCCTTTTAATCAAATGTGGTGAGCACTAAATTTGAAACAAATACAGGATTACTTTAATTATATTTACAGTACTCTGGTATTGGTTCCATATGGAGTAGGCAGGGGAGAAAACTGAATGGAGGGGGGTTGCTTTATATTGATGTCTTCATTGGTTTCAATCTCTGAGTTTATCCTTTTCTGAAAGAACAATACTGTATTATGATTCCTACTGTGAACTGGGACTTAATCTTTCTTAAGTGCTTCAGGAACAGTAGTTGTTGAGTTTTGGCTTACTCTTGTGCTTTTGTTTTGCAAGAATTCTGAGAGGGTGTGGAGGAGGGGACCAGGAAAAGTGGAAAAGAGGATGAAATGTGGCCACCATAGGAAGAGGAACTGAGGAGCAGCAGAGGAAATTCAGGAGCATTTTGAAGGACGAGCCCTATGTCTTAGCAAAGCTTTTAGAGTTGAAAATGTTTCTCTTGAGTGCATTCTTTTTCTGTTAAAAGACTGTGTCAGCCAGCCCTGGTGGTGCATGCCTTTAGTTTCAGCATTCAGGAGGTAGAGGCAGGCAGGTCTCTGTGAGTTCTAGGCCAGTCTGATCTACATAGGAAGTTCTAGGCCAGCTGAGACAACAGAGAGACCCTGTCTCAAAAGAGACCAAAAAAACCCAGTGTGTCATTGTGTAGCCCAGTGGTCTCAAACACAAAATTCTCCTTCCTCAAGCTCCTGAATACGGGAAATACAGGTGTGTACCACCATGCCTAGTTTGAGGGTATTATTATTATTATTATTATTATTATTGTTATTATTGTCTTTTTGAGACAGGGTCCCCCTGTAGCCCCAGCTGGCCTGGGACTTACTATGTAGACCAGGCTGGCCTTGAACTCACAGAGATCCGCCTGCCTCTGCCTCCCAAGTGCTGGGATTTAAGGCATATGCCACCACCCCAGGCCCACTTGAGGGTATTATTAAGAGGTGTCTTAGTCTTTATTTATGTGTCAAGATGGGTAAAGGAGTGGGATTGGGGTAGCAACCCAAGAAGAGTCAGCGATGTCTAGATTACTCTGAAATTAAAAAAAAAAAAAAAAAGTTTAAAAAATTTAAAATACAGAAGCAGTTTAAATACTTAGAAAATTTATGTTCCTCTGGTGACTTTACAACTTGTAGTTTGTTACACAAACCTTTTTAACATTGATTCATATTAGAGTAGCCTCACTTTTCATTAGAATAAGAGAACTGAGGCCTAGGCCAGAGAGATGATTGCCCACAGTCTCAGAGTGATAGTTTTCTGACTCAATTCAGCAGATTATACTGCATAGATATGAAGGTCTTGGGCCAGCTCAGTGAGTAAAGGCACTTGCCAGCCAGCCATTGGTGCAAGCCTGATGACTTGAGTTCAATACATTTGACTGATGGAGATGGGCTTGCTATGTGCTCATACTGACCTTCAACTTGTGGTCTTCCTTGATCTGCCTGCCTCTCTCTGGGGTTGTAGGTTTGCACTGCCCCATGTAAGGTTTGCATAGATAATTTTTTTTAACATTTATTTTGATGGAGGAGGATGTGTGCCACAGTGTGTGTGTACACATGTGTGTATGTGTGTGCATGCGTGTGTGTGTGTGTGTGTGTGTGTGTGTTTGTAGGGCAGAGACAACTTAGGGGAGTTCTCTCCATATGGAATCCAGAGACTAAACTCAGATCCTCAGGTTTGGTGGCAGGTCTGTTCCCAGCAGAGCCAGCTCATCGGCCCCTGTGCAGATTGATTTAAACAAAAGTTGTTATGCTGGGCATGGTAGCACATGCCTTTAGTCCAGCACTCAGGATACAGAGGACAGAGGCAGGGGGATCTCTGAGTTCAAGGCCAGCCTTGTCTACATAGTGAGCCCCAGGCCAGCTAGGGCTGTAGGGATACCCTGTCTCAAAAAGACAAAAAACAGGGCCTGGAGAGATGGCTCAGCGGTTAAGAACACTGACTGTTCTTGCAGAAGACCCGGGTTCAAATCCCAGTACCCATATGGCAGCTAACAACTGTCTGTAACTCCAGTTCCAGGGGAACCGACAGCCTCTTCTAATCTCCGTGGGCACTGCACAACGCAGGTGCACTTACCTGCATGCAGGCAATACATGCATACACATAAAATAATAAATAAAAAGATACCCCTCAAAACAGTTATTACATTTATTTATTTTGTGTATATATTTTTATGTATGTTCTTGTACCTTGTCACATTGTGTATGTGGAGGTCAGAGGAGTCTGTTCTCTCCCTCTACCATGTGTGGGACCCTGGATTGAACTCAGGTATCAGGGTTGGTGGCAAGCACCTTTACCAGTTGAGCCATCTTGCTGGCCCTGCACAGATTCTTAATTGTATTTATTAGCCTTGTTGATAGTGTGGCTGTTTGTATGTCAAAAGTGAATTCACTGAAAAGAAACAGGGAATACAGATTCCTTTGGACATACTAGCTATAGGATTAAGAGGAAGTTGCTACTTTTTTCTTAAGTGAGGGTTAAATGAAATAAAATCTGTAAAGTATTCTCAAAATACACTGGCGTATTAGGCAGTTTGCTGGTTCAGGGACTCTAGTTTGTCAGCCTTCCTCTCTCTTTTCCTTGTCTTTTCAATCACTTTTTAAGTTTTTATTTTTTGGTCTTTTTGAGACAGGGTCTCCCTGTAGCCCCAGCTGCCTTGGAACTTGCTATGTAGACCAGGCTGGCCTCAAACTCAGAGGTCTGTCTGCCTCTGCCTCTGAAGTGCTGGGACTAAAGGTGTGTGCCACCACACCCAGCTCCTTTTTTGAGACAAGAGTCTCACTCTGTAGCCTGAGTGGCCTAGAGCTCCATATGTAGCCCAGACTGGGCTCTGACTTACAGAGGTCCACCTGCCTCTGCCTCCCAGTGCTGGAATTAAAGACATGCACCAGCACACTCATTCTTGTTTGTTTTCAATCATTGATCACACAGATGTACACATGTGCTCACATTTTGTCTATTTTGTGCTGATTAAATCCATATTATTGAGCATAAACACTTACATAATTTAGTTAATTCTTCAGAGAGTAAATCATGAAACTAGATAATTTATGAGTAAAGCTGGATGATAGCCACCTAATTAAAAAAATTAAAAGTTTTAGCCACCTAATTAAAAAAATTAAAAGTTTAAGTGGAATATAGTAATGTGTGTCCAAACCAGTGAGTAAAGGAGTTTGATGAGAGAGTAGGGTTTTGTTGTTGTTGTTGTTGTTGTTTTAGATTTTTTTAAGATTTTATGTGTATGAGTGTTTCACCTTAATGTATTTTAAGTACACTATGTGCATGCAGTGCCCAAGGAGGCCAGTTGAGGGAGTTGGATCCTCTGGAACTGGAGTTACAGACAGCTATGAACTGCCATGTAGGTGCTGGGAACCAAACCCAGGTCCTGGACAAGAGCAGCAAATGCTTTTAACCATTGAGCCATCTCTCCAGCCCCCTTTGCTATTTTTGTTGTATTTTTTTTCAATTACGTTTTATTTATTTTGTCTATATGTCTGTGTGTGCGCACACAAGTGTGCCTTGATGCTAGTGTGGAAATTAAAGAACAGCTTGTGGGAGTTCTCTCTTTCCACCATGTGAGTTCTGGAGATTGAACTCAGGTTGTCAGGTGTGGTGGCAAGCACATTTTACCCACTGAGCCATCTTGCCCC